AAAAGAAGCAGGTGCAATCCACCTTAAATGCTGGTAAATGAAGAAGATCTATAATCATTGATGGAACTACAGAACTAGGGCTGGAAAGGTTCTGGACAGGTCATCTAGGTCATCTTTGTACCTGAAGGCAAGATAACTTAATGAAAACCGTTCTTGTCTGATACTTGTTCTTCTGCATCTGTCTTACTGGTGGTTTCACATGCTTCCTGAGTAATTATTCTAGTGCTTATCTGTCTTTTGTATTAAAAAGTGGTTTTAGTGGAAAACACATATGCTCATTTTAAACTCGTTAATTCTTTTCCTATTCCCAGAAGAGTTGATTTATTACCTTTTTTGCAACTGTTTTACATATTTGAAGACTGTTATCACATCTCCCCTCTGTTTTCCTTACTTTAGACTAAATAAACCCGATTTTTCAGTCTTTCCTAAGAGGTCATGTATTTTTAGATCTTTGTCATTCTTGTTTTTCTCTTTCGATCTGCTTCAACTGTTCCAATATTTTTTCAAGGGTGTTGCCCAAAGCTGGACTCGCAGCTCCACAGAGCCTTGCGAGAGCTGAATAGGAACGTTTGAGTTTATGGCCAAATGGAAACTCACAAAGTCCAGCTGTAACGTCAGGGGAGATGACTTCTTGTGATCACATGCAAGTTCAAATTCCATTCGTATAACTATACTTCCCTCCACATGCTGTCAACAATCCTTTTCAAACACAACGCATAACGAGCTACTTAGCTTAGGTGGAAAACAGCATTTCAGAATCTCTCCATATTCATGTATTCTTTTTTTCTCTTACTTCTTTGTGTTCTTCAGACTTTTCTGGTTTAGAGCTAGCTGATGTCAGAATACCTTTCATATATACATTATAAATCTGTAGCCCATTATATACTTTTGTGTGGTTAAGTACATTATGTCAAGTTTAGACTTGCTTCAAAACATTTGGGATAAGATGGAATCAGAGGGAAGACTCCATACTATCTATACCAGTCTTGCTCTTCTATTTGCACTGTAAAAAATGAGCCACAGAAATCCAGCACCACTGTTGATCTTTCATGGAAGGTCTTCTCTGATCTGCTCTGCTCTTTGGACTCAAAACTGCATCACTGAAACCAGTGCAAGCAAAGAGCTTGAGGCTTTTTGGTGTATGGATTTTGTATACTGTGTGATGCAGAGCAAACTTACAGGCAGAGAAAAAACACTTGTAGTAGCAGAGAAGAACTAGTTCTCCCAGTTAGAAACAAGACATAGAGAATTAAGAATTTGATCCTGAGATACTAGGGCTGTGCAGAGAATTACCTCTGTCTCTTTTTCTTGCACAACTTGCAATTCACAGGCTTTGAGGTAATTTGGCAAACTGGATCTCTAGCAAAGAACTGGTCAAACTCATGCAAACTCATTAATTTCTGCTATGCTCAAGGAACAAATGTCCTCTAGTAAGAGATTATAGTGGGTAAATGATAGGCTTGTGGGATATAAGAATGAAAGGTTCACACAAACTCTTTGCTTTGAAGGACAAAATTTGAACAGTAAAAGATTTGATTGCCCCTTAACTTATTTTCTGTTCTAGTATTCCTAATTTAGTAGTCCTTCTTTTTCTTTCCTGTAGCAAATGATGTTATAAATATTGCTGATAATGCATAGTTGGTAGATGAGTATCTAGACTGTCCTTATGGGGTTATCAAAGGAAAGATGTGCTGTCTCTCTCTCTGACGCCTTATTTTGTGGGGGTAGTATTTTACTTGTTAAGTAGTTCCAAGTTAATAGGGCATCTTGCAAAGCAGAGCTCATATTTGTAAGCGTAATAAAATATAGCTCTTTGACTCACCATTTCCCTCAGTGTATTTTTATACTTTTTAAACATGAATTCAATGTTTATGAAAACGTCTGAAATATTAGCGTTGGAATCTGAAATACTTTATTTAGAGAAAGAAATGCTTAGGCTGTTTCAGGTCTCAGTCTAATGTTAGTGTTCCTTAACCTGTACTGAAATGGGCTACTTCCATGAGTGAAAAGCAATTTCAGTTTTTAAACCCAGCCTAGTCTATTCCTTTTTCTTCAGATGGCCAAGTAGGGTGCCGAATAGTGCTTGGAAGATTTTTGGATCGAAATCCTGTTGATCTTAGGGTAATGAGCTAAATTCATGTTTTAGCCATCCAAAATTTGGATTGCAAGCTTGCCTTGTGGTCACTTTCAGAATAAGAAATATCCTCATGTTTGTGTCCATAGCTACAAATGTTATTTCTGTGTAACAACAGATGCAAGTACGACCTTCAGAAGTTGCCTTGATGTCTGAAATCATTTGTTGCCCGAGGAATCCAATGTGCACTCAAATATGCAGCGTTTGCACTCTTTGCACTCTGAAACGTACATAGCCATCACAAGTCAATTAACCGTGAAGGAGGCTAAAGATTTGAACTCAGCAGTAAGGAATGGCCATTAGCAAATTACATTGTTAGCTTGCTTAGAATATATTAAAAAATGTGATACTTAAGGATTACACACAGAGGACTTTCTGAAAATGACAGTGAAAAAACTATAGGCTTGGGGTTTTTTGTTGTTGTTCGGGGTGTTTTTTGCTAGACATCTGGCACTTCCAAATGACATCATTTCTTTCAGACGCGTTGTCCGGATAAGTGGTAAATGGTTGACTTCATTTATATCGTGGTCTGGTTGTTCTTTGATGAATAGAAACTAAAGCTACTGAAAAAATATTTATTTTGCTTTCTTGCTTTGAAATACCAAAGAATAAAGGTAACCAACAGAAAGAAAATCTTACACTGCAGATGAGAAAATTTTCAGAGAGCTTTTAAGTTGATCATTTGCCGCATTGGATTCCCTCTTGTCTTCACTTACAAGACTCATACTGTCTGTATTTTGTGTGATTTCATGTAGTAAATACTCTGTGCAGGATTTTGGTAACTAGAAATTTATAAACAATCACAGCTGTATGTGTTTGTCTTCAGTGTTTTAAACAAAAAAGGGATCATTCCCCCCCCCACCCCCCCCGCTTTGATTTTTTTCTTAAAAAAAGTGCAGTGTTGAAGCTGGAGACAATAGGATGCAAGAAATGCCATCAGATCTTTGGAGGTATTTACTGGCTGGTTGAAAAGTTAAAACTATTTTGCATTCTAGCATCGGTGCCTGTATCTTTCCCTTACCTAGAGCCAGCAGACATGATGGCCTGTGATCTGAAGAACTGCTTTCACAACTTGGTGTTTTGTGGATACCTGCATAGAAAATAATCTGAAATAATTTGTTCCCTGCATTAGATTTACTTACAATTTACTGTATGACTGTAAATGCTCATCATCGCCTTGAAGTGTGAAAGGTGGTTAAACAGAAGTTGCAGAGAACATTCCAGCAGCTACATTGCCTTGACATCTCCAAGGCTCTTCCTTTAGTCCCCTGCTTCCTAGGGCTTTCCACCACCTCCTGTTAGGCATTGACATAGCAGCATCCGTAAACATTTCTTTGTTCCCGGCACTGTGTGGCTTTAATGTGAGAAACACCCGTAATTTCCCACCTAGCCTGTCTGAACTCCCCCAGGAAGAGCCCAGACAGAAGATACCTTTGTGTGCAGAGATTTCAAGGCCAGGAGGCATGGTTATGACGGTCCCATCTGACCTCATGAACGTAGCTCCCTGGTTTACACTAGAACAGGATTGCTGGAATTGGCACAGCTCCAGAGTTAAGCCTCTTTGGCAGCTACCTTGTCCCTAACGTTGTCTGTGGGCAAACCTCCCCTGAGCCCTGGCCTCAGGCTGGCTCCAGAGCTGGAAGAGACCTGTCTCTCCCCGCGGCGCTGGGTGTAGGCTTCTGCGGCGCGGCTTCTTCCAGGTGGGCTCGTGGGGGTGCTTGGTGTCCACCCACAAATGTTGGCGTTGTCTCAAGCCCTCTTGCCTCTGCCCAAGCACCTCAGCCTGCTTTTTGTAATGTCTGAACTATGGTACATGGGTCCTTATGTAGTGCCTCATGGTACTTGGGTTCTAGATGTTCTTCATAATGGAAAAAAAATATATATATTATCTATTATTTTTTAATAAATGGTAAAAGGTGGTCACTTAGAAGAAAGACAATATGTGATAGCACTTTCTTTATCAAGGCAGGTCTTTTTGTTCTATCTTGCAGTTCAGATTTACACTGAGTATAATTTCTAGAACATGAGGTGCAAACAATATATGTGCAAATAAGGGAAATGTCAGTTTCCTATTTCTACAGTGGTAGTTTTCTAAGCAAACTGACTGAACTTCATTAGGGGAAAATTTAATGTACCAGAAGGTAGTGTTTGTATGTAAAATTCCCAATGCTTTCCTGCTTTCCCTGACATGAAGTTGATAATGCTTAGATAACACAAAATCAAACCTTCTGTATTAAAAAAAAAATTATAATCTTCCAGTCCTTCCGTCATTCCTAAAATGCTTCTTGGAAAATTTTGTCCTAAAACCATTATTGTCCATTTTCATGATAAGTGACTTTTTTGTTACTGAATTCCAGAACAGCGTATATTATAATTTAACCTGTTTTAAGAGAGGAACAGTTTGTAGCTAAATAAAGTATGTATAATATAAATATGGGTATTAGATAGGTGTGAATATATACATATAAAATATATTGTGTATTTATATAATTATATAACATTTATGTGTAACAGGTATAATACATAAAAATAGATTATTATTCACATTATCAGCATAAAATAGACATAGTTAAGTATTTTTCATTATGTAATAGTATTAGATTGTCCCTGGAAATTAAGAGGCTGAGAACTGGATAACTGAAGAAAATTGTGAAGTTATGAATTTTGTACTTAATATTGAAGACACTAACAGTGCACAAGGATATGACATGAAAGAGTATTAATACAGTACCTGAATAATCATTTTATTTATGTATGCAAATATCAGACAGAAAATTCTTCAGTAATGCAGAGTGGTTTTCTGCAATATTTTAAACATGATAATGTATTCTATGTAACTGTAATATTTATATTAACTGTATTTTAGATATCTGATATCCATGTTACTGGAGAGTCAGAGGACATGTCTGCTAAAGAGAGACTGCTCCTGTGGTCGCAGCAGACAACCGAGGGTTATGCTGGAATCCGTTGTGAAAATTTCACTACCTGCTGGCGCGATGGAAGATTATTTAATGCCATCATTCATAAATACAGGTAAGTACCCCGTTTGTTGTCTTGAAAAATACTAATTGCAGCATTTTAATATACACAGAGAGAGGGCTCTGTGGTTTATGCCTGTAATAGCGCTGAATTGAGCTCTTCCTGGGCAATCCCCTGCTTCTTGCAGCCAAAGGATGCCTCATCAGCCCTTGTGTGCCCCTCCTTCCTCAGAGGAACATCTCCATGAATCCTGCACATCTCTCATGGGGCACTTCCAAACTGCTGAGAAGAATGTCCCTGGGGTTCTAATTCCCAGTCTTCCGCACAGTCCTTTTTTGTCACACTAACATTTAAGTATAGGCAGGGTAGAGACAGAACTGATCACCGGTGTCCAAAACTGCGCTGCTGGTGAAAGCCATCGACTACCGCATGACCTGAGAAATCCCTAAGATCCCCATATTCTTCCCTGTATGACTTCACCAAGCCCCTGGAGCCTAGAGCTTCTTCGGTGTTTCTGCTTAGAGCCCAGATCTGCTCTGAGATATGTCTCCTGTAAAATGGCAGGGTATTCTTATGGAAAATGGGACCAGTTGGCTTGAACAGTCTCAGTCTGAGCTGGGAATTATGCTACTTCCCCCCGCTTTCTGTGCTTTTGTGACCACAAGCATACCAACAGGCATTTGTAGAACCACTGGTGGCTGTGGCTAGAAGCTGAAGGATGCGCTATATTAACTTACTTAAAATACAGTTGAAGATGTCTACTGGCAAGAGAGGATTTCTAATTCTGCATTCTAAGTAAAAACACGTCTCTCTTGACAAAGCTGACTTTGGCATCAAGACTCGGCAGAGGAACAAGATTTAAGATCATTGCTGCACTCAGCGTTCCCTCTTGGTTGGCGGCATCTCTCTGTTTTTGTACATTTTTTGGTTCCTGAATTGAATAAGGACATTTGTGTCTTAGAGGACCACATGGGAGAATATTCTGGCCACTGGGCTAATTAGTGTGTACTGATTTGTCCCTCACTGTGCAAGGCTTGCAACTTCTGGGTTTTATTATAGCATGTGTAAAGAGTATGTGCTGTGTACCCTGGGGCATATCGTAAGGAAGTTTGAAGGTACATGATTTTCTCCGTATAATACCGAAGGAGTGTCCCAGGTAGAGAGAGACAAATTTGGTATGTTTTAATGCAGCTCCAGGGAACAGACCCTGAGCAGATTATTCTGTTCTTCATTTTCCTCTTGTGGGACCATTTGGCTCACCAAAGAAAGAAGCCTAGGGAGAGCCAACATGCGTACGGTACAGGGACTAGGGCACTGAAGTAAAATGAGAGACGAGTCGAGCAGATGCAGCCTTTTCCTCACACACTGTGTAGAGAGGCTGTAAGCATAACATATGGTGCTCTGAGTCCTGGAGAAGGTAGCTGTGGCAGGGCATAACTTCATGGTGAAATGAAGCTGCATCTAAATCGATGAGGTCTTTTTCTGACTGTGCTTCTGTTCTGGGTAGCCAGTCAGGGAGGAGGTGCATGCCAGCAAGAAAGTCGTCTTTTAGTAACATTGGCAAGACAAAGGGAAATAGCTGGCAAAAAACTAGACTGTTTTACTTCAGGACAGAGCAGCCAAAAGAATGAACGTAGCACAAGCAAGTTATTTGAAAAAATAAACAATTTGAAGGATATAGAGAGAGGGGAGGGGGAAAAGGAAGGAGCTTAATGAGATGGAATAATGGAAAATACTTCCAAGTGCTTCTTCAGAGCCTTTATACCACTTACCTAGAGCAGTGCAGCCTTTACAGCTCAACAGCTAGTAGTTCTGGTACAGATCAATTAGTAAATAATGAAAAACTTGAATTCTGTCCTCCGGCTGTGCCTTGGGACATGACTGAGTACCTGCAGTTGCTTTGCTGGAGCAGTGTTTCTGGCAACGCTCTGTTAGTCTCGTTCACAGCATTTCAGCGGGGAAGCCCGGGCACCTTTGACATGAGTGCATTGCACAAAGCAGATGATTCAGTGGCTGAGGAGCAAAGTCCCCATTTTGTGTGCTTCTGTGCCAGTTTCCCTTTAGCTTATCCTATTCCTGTAAACATAACTTCTCCATCTCAGGATCCCGTGTCCTTCCCACGAATGTTTACCGTCCTTATCTGATGTCTTTTTACTGTCAGAGGTTACAGATTCTTGGACCGCACCTTGCTGATGAAATCAATGAGATTCTTCCACTGATTTCAGTGAGCTTCTGCTTCTTTCCTTTGCTGTTTTGTACCGTTAAAACAGAGATAATAACTTCCAGCTATTGCTCACAAGATAGGAATGGTCTTTCCAAACAGTCATCTGATACTTTTAACTACAGTATTTTACTCCAGAGAGTTCTTTTAAAGCTTGGTTTGAGTTCTGAGCAGTAAGTAGGTTAAACACTAACAAAATGCGCACATTTCTGGCAGTGATTCTCCATATGCTGTTTGTCTGTTTTAGTAGCTCACAGTTTGTGGATCACAGGCGGTCTCAGGAGCTAGGCTGAGCATCCTGCGGATGACCAGGGCGGATGACCAGGCGTGCTTGCTCGGGCGGTGGGGTGGGACTGTGGTGCTGCCACCGCAGAGCACCCCCGTGGGTGCACATCTGTCCATCGTGGTGCAGCGTTGCAGCCCCTCCTGTGCCAGGTATGCCGTGCTCGCTGGAGATACCTCTCCTTACAGAAGCACCATGCACCCTGGGCCAGGAGGAGTAGCCCCGGGTCAGGGAGGATTAGCCGCTCTCCACGAGTGGGGACAGGGCGCTTCAGCGGGAATGCGACTGCCAGTCCTGGAAGGGATTTATATGGGCCCAGACCTAATTTTAAGGGGGTGACATTTAGTGCTGTGACAGTAATAGCCAGAAGGCTCAGAAATACCCAGGCATGTTACTGGTATCTAGGATTGCAGCTGTACTGGGCAACAGTAAGCTGTATGTTGGATGGAGAGCACACGCCCATGTCGGGGCACAGCGGCGGGCGCTCCCCATGGAGGGTCCGTCAGGGCAGGGCCTGGCAGCCG